GGCTTCCAAGAATTCTCTTGCATTTTTGGCTTTAGCTTGGTCTAAAATGCTGACAGTTTCCCAGTTAAAACTATGGTATCACCTCACCAGCAATCATCACCCAGATAAGCAGAGGTTAGCACCAGGCACACAATTGAGCAGTCAACACATGCTAATCCAGGAACTACCAGAGGAGCAGAACAAAAACTCCACCCCCGCCAGCACTGGCAAAGCATATAAATAGAGAGCAAACCCCATCCCATTTTAGCACTGAAGATGTTGCCTAGCCGGGTAATGAAATGTTTGCAAGAAAAGAATCAAGCTCAGAGAACCCCAAGGACTCCACTCCCGTAACCGTATAACAAACTCAACTTGGATCATATTCCAGGAAGCGGTCTAGTATTTTGTGGCTCAAATTCATTTTTACCTGGTGCATGTTCTAATCTAAAAAAGGAGGTTATACATTGAAAAAGGCTTTTTTTTTTTTACCCCAATTACCCAGCTGCCACCTTCTTTCTGTCTCAGAAAGGAAGAATAATTAAATCAAGGCTTTTACTTACTGTAAAGCGTCTCTGAAGAATTGGTTGGCTCCGTGATTGTGTTTGAACACTGTTAACATGACTTTCTTCATCTGTGTGCTAAGAAAAGTCAGGGAGAGCCAAGGTCAGTATGGAATGAGAGAAAAACAGGACTGCTGGGATTGTCATCCCTAAGCGATGTGGTCACGTGACGCCGTACTTTACAACCATATCGCTTAGCGACGGCAATCCTGGTTCCAACTGCCGTCATAACTTGAGGACTACATGGCACTACTCCATTTTTAAAAATATAGGGTATACCAAAGTCAGAGCTCATAGACAATTTATTCTATAAATTATATTAAATGTCTGAATTGGTTGCCATTTTCTTACTTGTTTGATGCATGATCTTTGAACATTCCTAAGTACAGTAACATTTCTGCTGAAAAAAATATTAATATTGTGATTGGCCTGTGGGGCCTGACTTATGGTACACCCTGTATTGATACAAAGCAAATATAAGAATATAAAAATTCACAGAATGAAGATGTCTTCATCTGAGGCTGTACAGGCCACGCAGCTTTGGAATTCCGAAGCATAACCAAAACGTGCGACCTGACTTTACAAATCTCCTAGTTGCTTTAGCTGTTCTGAGATATTGTACGGTATCCTCATCAGCACGTCAATCACGGAGATGTTTTTATCAGTAAAAAGTAAATGAGAAACATATTGAGCGCTCCCTTGGCTAAACTAACACCGTAACACTCAAGTTGAAGGGTCACACATTCAGTTTTTAATGTGGATAACAAGTCTTGTTAAACGTCAACGAAGTTTGCCCCAGTGAGATGGGGTATGATTTGCAGCTCAGAAATCGTGGGGAAAAGGCACCCCTACCTATTTGCCACGAGCTGCAGGATCTGTATGAGAAACTTGCCCAGACCTTTCCTCCTCACTTTGCTTTCCAGCTGTACTTCATAGCTAGGGCGAGAGAGAGAGGGGAGGGGAGGGAAATGCAGGCAAACATCAACATTCGAGCAGAGCCAACTTGCAAGCCATTTGCAAAAGTCATTGCCATTTGAAGTACAAAATGCCAAATGTGGAAACATCCAAAGCCATCTTCCCTCCTGTTTAACAGACAGGGACCCCGACTCCCTTGTTCAACAGACAGGGATCTCGACTCCCTTCTGTTTGACACGAACCTCTATTTAACAGACACGAAGAGCTGTTAACATAAGACATAAACCCAGCAAGAAACACACAACATTATTGTTCTAATTTGGTATCAGTGCCTGCAATTTTCTAAACACTAAACAGATGCCGAAAGTTTGCTTGGGGATTTGCTGTCTAATTACCTTGAAACAAGGGGAAAAAGACAAGAGATGAAGGTAACTGATGGATGGCACCCAGTTGGTTTCCTTTGCTATGAAGTTCTTTTCTGGTAAGCTGTCCTGCCAATTATGCTAAATATAATGTGCACTGTTTGGCTTTGCAAGATGCATGAGGCTCAGTCATGGAGGCTTATCACCAACCTGTGGCTTAGCACAATCTCTTCATTTGTTAATTTATATGCCATCTTTCCTCCAGGTGCAAAAGGTACTGTACACAGCTCCCTCCTCCAATTTTTCCCCTATAACCACCACCATGGGAAGTAGGATGGGCTGAGAGAGAGGCAGACCAGCCCAAAGGTACCCAAAGATCTTCCACAGCTGAGGGTGGAATGGAACTGGGGGCTCCCCAGTTTTAGTCCAACACCTTAACTGCTACACCTCAACACAGCAATATTTAAAGTCCGTGCTACTTCATAAAGTTGCATTCCTTCTTACTGTCCTAGCTGCCACAAACACACACATCCCACACCAAAAATGAAAGGTCTTAAATATTCCAGGTTTAGGCCCAAGAGCCTAACTTTCACTTTTATTCCAGGTTAGGCTATTTATACCTGTTTTGTAAGTTCTACTAGCAGGCTCCCTTCAAGTTCCCCTCGATCACTGATGAGTGGGCTCTTTTAGCCAGAGATATCAAATGAGTTTGGCCTGTTTTGCATCACATGCATTAATCCCAAGCTCAAGTTAAATCATGCAAACAATCTAGCTTTGCTGAGAAAGAAAGGGAAATCTACGGTTGGAAGCAATCCTCCAAAACAGAGCAAGGAGAAAGAAACACGCTTAGTCGTCACATTAAGGAAGCATAGTTGGCACACAGACCAGAACCATAGCATGCTGCATTTTTTTTTTTTTTGGCAGGCCCAACTTCTCCTTTCCATCGTTCTGTTCTTGTCTATCAGACCTTCCTGTCTGATGAAGTCCACAGAGCTCTGGCAATCTAGTTACTCCTTCCCATCCTGAAATCCCAAGCAGGAAACCATACCAGTAGAGCACCTCCTCTCCATATTCAACGTCAAAGCGGAAATGGGAGAAAGCCACGGGGAGGGAGCCGTCTTCCAAAGCGATTAAGTACCAAGCCCGGTCATCGGTCATTTCTTCCCGTTTTTCCCGGTCTTTCCAGCCCCACTCGCTCTGCTCGTACCTTTGAAGAAGCACAGAAAGAAGGGAAATGAGAGCTTCCTTCAGGATGGGGCCAACGGCCTTCTGCCCAGGGAAGTTGGGAATCCGCGTGTCACGGTCATGTTCAGAAGCATCTCCGCTCCTGGGTCTCCACGTGGTCGCTAGCTGAACTTGAAGATGGACTGAAATGACAAAAAACTACTCTAGAGAGCCTGCAAATGTTTCTGTACTACTGAAAGACCATTCTAGCGTTCATGTTACTCGGCCTTAAACACAGGACTGATGGCTTTGCACTGGGGATACGTAGCAAACATAGGAAGCTGCTTAATCTGATCCTTAACCCAGCCAAAGAGCACAACCGCCAACCCTAACTCATAACGCCTTTCAAAGCCTCAAGATTATTTTTTCTAAGCACCTCGTGCTTCTGAGCATTCTGTTTTTTCTTGCGAACCATATACTTTGGCTCCTGAAGCAGAGAGGGTAAGATCGAACCAACTCTTGCTCCTCAACTGCTGGTCATGGCTGCCCACAGCCTCCCATTACCCCCTCGTGCCCTTATGGCCTTACAAGGTCTGCATGTTTGTTTTGGTCAGCTCAAATGCCCAGTCGAGCGTAGCCGGGTCCAAACTGGATACTCGTTTACACTCGATAGAAACATTCAGTCTGTAACAAGAGAGGGAAAGAAAGAAACGACAATTAGGATTACTTGTGGAAATGAAAAATGGGATTCAACCTGGGGACTGCGAGAGGAAAGGCCAGGCGGCTACTGGGAGGACAACAGTGACCCTTTCCAATTATTTATCACAGAGGAGGCTGAGGTTCAAATCTCTCACCTCGAAAAAGGACACAAAACTTTTACTCACCCGTTTCTGTCGTATTTCTTGAACACCGGAAACGCTTCTAAGGGGTCTCCCAGCTACACAAAGAAAGAGAGTCACTAGACAAACTAAAAAGTTGATGTCTGAAGAGCAGTCAGGCACAGGGATAACTTTCTAACTTTCCTCTGGCAATCGGTTTGGAACATTGTTAACAATCAAGATCAAGGCAATAAAATGTCTGGCCCTTGTTCCATTATCAAGGTAAAAAAAAATACTGTATGCAATCGGTTTCAGCTGATTATATTTTCTGCAGGAATTAGTGATCAGCTAAACTGCCTTAACTTCAACATTATAGAAAGTGTCTTGCTCATGAGTAGGCCTGAAGGGGCAGAGACTAGAGAGCAACTCTAGAGTTTCTGGGGGGTGGGGGGAAAGCTTCTTTACTTCAGTTGCTTCCTCTGTTTGCATTTTCCTCTGTTGGAATTTAAAAGTTTACTCATTCATAATTTATTCTAACTTCTTAGAGCCATCGGATCCTCAAAGTGGTTTAATCCGCTCCCTCTCCAAACACCACAGCCCTCCTAGAGGACAAGACTTTGATCTACCAGTTCATTCATACCAGGCAAGAAATAAACTCACAGCTCTACGCTCCCACCTTCAAAACACTGTTAAAAAAATAACGCCACGATCCCCAGGAGGCCAGCCTTTCAGATTGGGCTCAGCCAGGTTGCTAAGCAAAGGCCTGCAGATGCCAGCAGGCAGACCATAAACCACCATACCAACTGCAGGGACTGGATTCAAAGGACACCTTAAACCCAAACCGAGCAAACGACCTTGTGGCTTTAAAGCACCGATTCCAAGTCTGCACCATCCTTTTATAGTCCTATTCACTTCTTAGACAAACACTGGTGCCCTTTGAGGTCATCAACCCAAATCTATCTGGTGTTCATCCAATACAGTAAGTCCAGCAGGGCTTGCTCCACAGGAGTAACACACATGAGCACAGTCTTAATGTTCCAGAATTCGAAGCAACCCCAGCCACAAAGGCTCCCGAGGAGACTGTGGGTCGGTTTGTGTTTCTCAGCCCTGCCTACCTCACAAGGTTGTTGTTGTGGGGAGGAAATTGGAGGAGGAAGCGTTATGGACATTACCTTGAATTCCTGGTGGGATATAAACTTAATGGAGTGATAAATTATAATGCAACCCGCCCTTCAGCGCAAGCTTGGGGAATAAACTCTGTATGGAGATGTGCAAAATGTTCTTTGCCTGAATTGTTCTGTGCACACAACACTGGCTTTCAGGAATTTGTGCCTAAACAAAAGCATGCAGGCTTCAGATATTTGGTCCGTGCGCGGAAGGAAGCAGGGCTGTTTGCTCCAGGCAGAGGGGGTTGAAGGGAAGGGGGAGGGTGGAAAAAGCCAAAGGTGCTGGCAGCAGAGGGGTGGGAGGGAAGATAAGGTGCTGGAAAGACTGGGGGCAGGCAGACTGGTGGCATTCATCATACTGGGAGTGGTTCCTTACTGCTGAGGCAACTGAAGTAAGGGTCAGGCAAACAGGTGGATTTCTCAGCAGCAGCAGGGAGGGCAGAAAGGCACTGAGAAGATTGGAGAGGGGGTGAGCCAGTGGGATGTTCCAAGCTGGGACGTCAGTAGTGGTGGCTAAGGGGAAGGAGGGAGGGAAGGAAAGATAAATAAAAGCAAACTGGTGGTGTATGAAGCACTGGGAGAGGGCTGCTCAAGGCAGGATGGGAGAGGGGGTGACACGCACCCACTATACCTTTCTGGATTTCGTTTTAGCCTGAATGCCGGCCCAAGGAAAGCATTCTGAGTTTCAGATCGGCCAGATCTGATCCAAAAACAGCCCAGCTGAGTCCCTGCTACACAAAGGCTTTTTCTCCCCGTCTGGTGCATCCGTAAATTACGCAATTGTTGGGATAAAGCCACTCAGTGAAGTTTCAGGATGGGGGGGGCAGAATCTGAAGTTGAGTTGCCTCTTTCCCCACTACATCATTCCACATCCCCCAGATTTTAACTGGCTTATATTTTTGACAGCTGCAAGCTGCCTTGGGTGTCGGAATAAGCTGAAAAGGAAGGTGTACGTTCTACAATAAAATAATAAAGAAGTGGAGCTAAGAAGAAGAAGGAAAGACTCACTTTATTTGCCGCTTCAACCTTGGCGCAGACAGCATCCATGGCTGCCCTTTCCTCCAATCGTTTCTGCTTCTTCTCTTTGCCTTTGCTGGATTTCCTCTGCAACCAGGAGGGTTGAAATGCTAAGACACAACACACAAACAGAACTGTACAGTACTTGGCTTTTCCCCATCTATTAAGACTTCTTCCACAAGAGGCTATGCTTTCTTGCCAGGCCTGAAATGTGGGATCCAAATGCTCCAGGGGAGAGAAGGGAGGGGATACGTGACACAAACTTAGTTCATGCAGCTTGTTAGTGACGGTCAATTTTGCGATGACTGATTCAATAAAGTGGCTGGGAGCACATGTGCTAAAGCAAAATCATACAACCAACGTTGTCTTACTACACTGTGTGAACCCAAGTCACCAGCAATTCTACAGAAGGAGGCACCTTGACCAACCCATGGATTCTGCTAAAGAAAGCTGTCAGTCAAGAGAAACTTATTCCTATAAGAGCAATAAAGAATAAAACAGCCCGATTAACAGTGGCCCCCTGTTCCATCAGCTAAACTTTCTGTGGATTAAGCCAATTAAAAGGGGTGGGCTTTTTTTAAATGGTTGTGAATAAACCAGTGAAGGCTTCCAGCTATACTTTCTAATGCAGCATCATTTTGGCACAGCATTGCTGAAGAATTGTGCGCTGTGCACTCCCAGCTCATGGGTACCTGAAGCACATCAACTGTTAAACTTTTTTTTTTAGTGGAGACTGTTTCTAGGAAGTTTAAAATGTGTGTGATGCAGCTTTTGAGAACAAGGAAACAAATCCTAGGAGCAATCCGGGCCTCCAACAGCTTCTTTCCTATGGTTTCCCCCCCCCTCACTTCTCCCACTATAAGCCAATACAAACGTGATTTGGAAATGCTACCATTTTTTTTTTAATCCAAACATTCTGCCAGGCTGATGAGTCAGCAAATATGAGTGATTTCAAGCCAGAAGCATATGCTTAACCTCACGGCAACCCTTCCACCCCAGAAAAGTTCAAGCGAGGGCACTTTTTCCAATTCTCTGGGTGTGACTGGCCAGGAAGTCACTTGAAAATGTGACAGCAGAGATGTCCAGTCAGTGTGATGTATAGGCAGAAAGGAGTGAAGCACTTCTCCTACATCACACAAACAGGACATTAATAATAAGAACAATAACTTGTATGTACCAGCTGGGTTGGACAGGCACATTCTGATTTAAAAACAGGTCTGTCATTTTATTGATGACAGGGCTATTCATTTTATAGACAGGTTATTCCAGCTTGCTCAATGGAAAATATGAGAACACTTTAGAGAGTTACGAATTTCTTCTTCGGTACTGCAGCTTTCCATTATACGTGTGCAAAAAATACAGAGTTTGCTCACACATACCAAGAGGCAGTGACTAGGAAACCGTCAAGTGGCAACTGTCAAATGTGATCTATGTCACTTTGTAAGACAGGGCCGCTGTAGTTCTAAGAACCAAGCAGGACACATGAGTTTTACCAGCTGTAAATTTTTCTGATATGTGCGTGATAAGAATACACCAAACAAAATCTAGCATCAATAAAATGAATTTTGACTTCTTAAAAAAAGGTTCTGTCTGGCATGAAATCTATCCTTGTAAAAGTGGTTTTGCATTCCAAACTCTGAATGCCTCCAACTGACTGAACAAAACCAAACCAAACCTTCTCCCAATAAGCTAGAAACACAAATATTTCACATATAGCAGTCTAAGGTATATCTGTGCCCTTTCAAAACATAACTGTATGTGCCATCTGGATCCAGAAAGTATACAAGGACAACTAACAGATGGAACTAATGCCCTAATTCAAAAAGACACCTGGCATATTTGCAAAAATCTTTCTATATCTGCAAGGGTGAAACATAAGCTTGCATTTATTAATACAGTGAAGAATGTTAAATAACCATTCTGTTGCATTTTAATGTAAAATCTGAATTGAATTAAACCTACTGGAGAAGAAGGAATAAAATGCAGATCTTTGTTGCAACTTAAATAGCCTTCTGATCCAACTTCCCAATACTTGTACTTCAAGAAAAAAAATTCCTCTCATAATTAATAGTAATTGCAATTCTTACATTTCGTATCATAATTATCTATTTCTTCCCTGACCAACAGTGACTCTCCCAAAAGTCAGGTTCCAAATTACCCTTTTTTAACACTCTAGTCCTACATCTTTCACATTCCCTGCTAATACCATTACTTTCCACATCATTTCGATCATCACCCACAACTTCTACTCAACAGCAGAAACTTAATGCTGTAATACTGGCCACCTTTGTGTCCCCTCCCCAACTTTTCATGTATGTATCTCTCACTTTCCAATTCACATCTATAAAACTGGGTTGCACAATGAATCAGGATAGGCTAAAAGCTCGGAAAGCTTGCATTCCAGCATTGGGGGACCCAGCATCTTGCATGAAGCAGGCCACCCCCATTAGGCACAAAAAATGGTTTGGCACAGCATGTTTTACAGATGCAACTACACAGTCAGGCTTCCATTCACTTCCTATTCTCCAACTCCACTCTTTGATCCCACTTCAATTATCCAGATTTTAAGTTTTACAACAACCCAAATCTTCCCAACCCATATTTCACAACCCTCAAAATTTCTCACATTACAATAATCACTGGATTACTCCCTCCTTCCACTCCACCCATTTAAATGATTGCAATTATCTCAGTTCTCCCTCTTTCTCTAGAATCCCATATGGATTTCATCACACACACACACACATACATACATATATATGTATAATCTCTCTCTAATATCTACTTTTCAAGACCCGTCCATTCCAACTCCCTCCCACATCCCAACCTAACCTCTTGACTCTGTAGGATGCCCCCAATACTTTGGCTGTGGAGGATGGGAACTTTAGTCTGGAGGGCACCAGGGTGGAGAAGTCACTCCAAAGACCTTTAAACATTTCTTTCCGCAGAGTCTGAATATTTAAACCCTAAGACCACCCATTTCCACCCCCAAGGGATACACTATCCCCAAGAGTCCTATATATGAGATGGGCGGCTATATAAATTAGAATAATAAATAAACACCTACATTTCTTCTTCCCCCTTTTATACATTGCTTCCTCATCTGGCCCCTGACGTGATACACTGACCCCCCCAGTTTTCCTATAATTTCCCCCCCAGCTCCCTCCCCCCCATTTATAGCCTGGGCCTCCATCCTTTCG